CGGGGTGCAGCACCTCAGCCCCGCGGACGGCCCGCCCGCCCCGCCCAGCAGAGCCGCCTCCAAGCTCGTATTGGCGGCTGGGTGGTCCACACGCCGTCCGTCCGTGTCCTGCGGGGCAGCGGCTTCCCCTGTGCCTGAGGGCTTTGCCTCACCCCGCTGCCGTTTCTGCCGTAGCCCTTGACATTCTCGGCCTGTTTTTATACTGAGTTGAGCTCTGAGTCGCCCTGAGTCTGCAGGTGTTCTGCCACTGACCGGCTGCGAGTGACCCTGGCCACGTGATCCAGACCCAGAGCTTCAGGAAGCGTCTCCCACTGAGCCAGACGCTGGGGCTCACGCCTGTCATCCCAGCTACTCAGGAGGCTGAGATCTGAGGCTCACGGTTCAAAGCCAGCCTGGGCAGGAAAGGCCGTGAGACTCTGATCTCCAATGAACCACCAGAAAACTGGAAGCAGTGCTGTGGCTCAAGTGGTAGAGCGCTCGCCTTGAGCTGAAGAGCTGAGGGACAGCGCCCAGGTCCAGAGTTCAAGACCCACAACCAACCCCCTCCCTCCAAAAAAAAAAGGCTGAGGTCAGAGAATCAAGGTTCAAAGCCACATGAGGCAAAATAGTCTGAGAGACGTTATCTTCAATTAACTACTAAGAAGCTGAAAGTGGTTCTGTGGCTCAAGTAGCAGAGCACCAGCCTTGAACTTAACAGCTGAGGGACAGTGCCCAGGCCCTGAGTTTAAGGCCAGATGACTGGTGTGCATTTGTACACACACACACACACACACACACATGCTTCTCACACTTTAGGAGGAAACTGTGAATGGTTAAATGAGGTGCGTTCTGTGTGGTCCATGCGGCTTTGGGTTCATGTCGGTGGCGTCATTCCGAAGCCTGAAAAGCGTGCGCGTCCTGTCCAGATCCAGCCTTCCCTCCCTGTGCTCTCCTGTTGGAACGTTTTCTTACCTAATGCACGTACAGACGTAAGCTCTTCATTGTCCGGCTCACATTTACTGGTGAAATAGTGTAAACTTCGCAGCCGGGTCTGTCTGCGCCGGGGACGCTGAGCTCTCCCGCACGGCGCCCCGGCAGGGCAGGGGAGTCGGTGTTTCACGATGCCCGGTGAGTTAGCATGCTTTTCACTTCCTTTGGGTAAGCAGTGAGAAGGTGTTAGCGCATCAGCTGGCTCCGGCTTTACCAGAAGCTGGGGCGCGCACGCTCCTGCCTGCCATGCATCTAGTAGAGGGGGGCGTTCAGAGGCGAGCACGGGGCTGCGGTTTGGACAGGCGAGCACCCACCTGGGCTCTGTGGCCATTTCCACTCCCACGTGAGCCCTGGTGGCTTCTTGGTTGTAAATCATGCACGGCCCCCTTTCTTTTTTGTTTTTTTTGGGTCTGGTCATAGGGCCTGAACTCTGGGGCCTGGGCGCTGTCCCTCAGCTCTTCAGCTCAAGGCGAGCGCTCTACCACGTGAGCCATAGCACCACTTTCGGTTTTCTAGTGGTTTATTGGAGATCAGAGTCTCATGGACTTTCCTGCCCAGGCTGGCTTTGAACCGCGATCCTCAGATCTCAGCCTCCTGGGTAGCTGGGATGACAGGCTGAGCCGCCAGCGCGGGCTTCAGAGGCATTTCTGTTGGGAAGGTTTTATGTAGCTTTGGAGTTGTGCCTTCGTGTATTTAGGTAGCTGTTTAGTTTTTAGTTAGTTCCAGGACTGGGGCTTGAACTCAGGGCCTGGTGCTCTCACTTAGCTTTTTGCTCACCGCTGCCATCCTTTCCGTTTTTACTGGTCACAGACAGAGTCTCACGGACTTCTCTGTACCAGCTGAGCAATGCTCCGATCTCAGCCCTCTGCAAAGCTAGGATTACAGGCAGGAGTCACCAGGGCCTAGCCAAGAAGTTCATCTACTTCATCTTTCGTTTTTCTTAAGTACTTGGAGAAGTCCAGCCAAAGTCATCTGGGTAGCACTAAAAATAATCCTCTTCTAAATACTTAATAGCACATTCTGAGACCGATGGTGTGTGGCTTGCACAAATAATGCTGCTCTGGCCCGTGCAGCCATGCTTTGCCTGCAGTAGAACCAGGAAAACTGGAGAGGGAAATAGGGCTTTGGGCATGGTCTCTCGTCTGGGGTCTGGGGACGCACACAGGGCTTTGGGCATGGTCTCTCGTCTGGGGTCTGGAGACGCACACAGGGCTTTGGGCATGGTCTCTTGTCTGGGGTCTGGGGAACTGCACCGAGCTGTCTTCAATGGGTGAGATGTATTCGTCTCCACACGAGAATGGAGGCTTTTAGGACATCATAGCGTTCGTGTAATTTAATCTGTTTGGCAAGCAAAAGCTCTGACTCTCCAAAATCACAAGTGGCTATTCCAGAAGATTCTCCAATAAATAGTAAACAGTGTATAAAATAGACTTGCGAAGGAGGATGCCAAAGAAGAAACTGCTTCCTCTTTCTGAAAGTTACAAAAATATTCAACCAGCTAAACTCACACATCCACGTATGCGTGCATCAGGGCTTTAATATTTCTGCTGGAAAGAGAAAATAATGGTTTTTTAAAAAGTTGAATTTCTAACGTAGTACAAATGTATATATATATATATTTAGAGAGAGAGAGACAGACAGACAGACAGACAGACAGACAAGAAGGGCTGACATTATGAGCGTTTCTCCTGTGAGTGAATTCTTGTTTAGTAGCTCACAAACTGGAACATCGTTGTTTCCGTCTCTACCATTTCGTCAGGCAGCTGATCGCCGCGGTGGCTGAGCGGGGTTGAAAGCAGCGAGGTTGAGGAGGGAAAGACCAGAAGTTTGGTCTCTGCGTTTTTGCGTTCCTCTGCGCAGTAGCTTCCATAAACCCGAGTCCTGCCATATTTACTTTTCGTCATTAGATTTCCGAGCTAGAAACTTGGAATGTGTAGGGTTTATTAAACTGAAAGCACCGGAGATAGACGGCGGACGGGAAGAGGAAGCAGAAACAAGACGGAGGGATTGGGACAGAGAACGGTAGCTTCCCAAGCATGTGGGGGGATGTGGGGAAGAACTGTATCCCCCTCCCCCAGCATGGGGGCCGGGGGTCCTGGGCCGGGGGAGGGGGGTGCCCCGGCCTTCCCAGCATCCTCTCAGCCCCTGGATGTGCGAAGGCAGGGTTGGGCCTGCCCGGCAGCGTGTGATGAGCACCCGCAGCCCTGCCCGAGGGCCAGGCGTGAGCTGGGTCACCAGGCCACAGCTTGCGGCCACGGAGGTCAAGATGACCAGGCCGGGGTTTGAGCCCAGTCCAGCCCCTGTCTAGCCAGGACAAGCGCTGATGCGCCCCACCACGGGTCACAGAGCACGGGAGAGCCGGGCGCTGGCTCACGCCTGTTGCCCTGGCTCCTCGGGACGCTGCCATGTGGGGTGGAGGGGGGAAGCCAGCCCAGGCAGAGAGGCCCTCAAGATGCCATCTTTAACATAACAACCAAGAGAGGGCGAGCGGCGGGCGCGGCCCGACTGTACCATCTTAGATCTGCCAGTTTCCAAGGAGCAAAACGCAGCCACGGTGCACCCCCAAATGCACCCCCCGCCGCCATCATGGGGCAGAGAGCCCCGCGCACTGACCGGAAGGAACTTCCCCACGGCCACGGCTGCCTCTCCCGGCGTTGGCCCGCCCAGCCGCCCGCCTGGCCGCACAGGATTAAAGCCGTGCTGCCGCTCCTCGGTCAGAACGATTCGCAGGGGTGGAGCGCACGGGGCGAGGCGCCGCGGGGCCGGGGCAGAAGATGAACGTGGCTGTCTAGGCACCGGAGGATGCTGGATTTATTTTCTAAGCCTACGTGGACTTGCCAGGCCTCAGATCTGCAGAAGCAGGCCGCGTTCCTCGAGGCTCTGCGGCCTCGCGTGGGGCCCTGGCGGGCATTTCCTGACAGCGGGGCAGGGGCGGGTGGCCCTTCTGCTCTGCGTGAGGCCCGTGTGGATGCTCCGCTGAATTCCAGGAGCCGAGGCCCCGGTGGGGAAGACGCGTGAAAGACTTTCTGGAAGGCAGTGGGTGGAGATGAGTGTCCGTGCCCGAGGCCGGAGCTCAGATCCTCGTGGTTCCCCCCGCCCCCAACACCTTTGGGGGGGGCTGGACCCCCGCGCCCCAGGGCAGAAGGAAAAGAAAAGATATTCACTAAGAACTGCACAAAGAACCCAGCTAGCGCCGGGCGCCGGTGGCTCACGCCTGGCATCCTGGCTGCTCAGGAGGCTGAGACTTGAGGATCGTGGTTTGAAGCCAGCCCGGGCAGGAAAGGCTGTGAGACTCTCTGAACCCCAGCTAGCCGGCATCCGTGAGCTCCGAACCAGGACAGGAGGTCGACAGAGGATGGAACTTGGCTATTGGTACCTCAGGCAGAAGTTGGGGTGAGGGGGCCCCCTTTTCATGGAAGCGTGAGTGGGCCTTGTTCCCCCCGCCCCCATGACGTCTCTCAGGAGTCTTCTTTCTCCCCCGACACCTCTGTCCCCTCCCCCCTTGCGGCTCTGATGCCAAGCACCCTGCAGGCGAGCTGGGGGCGTCTGGGGGCGGGGCTGGGTGAGCCACGCCCACCCGCCCTGCCCCAGAGTCCCTGGGACGAGCGCTCGCTTTTGAATGCTGTCTTGTGCCTTTCCTGGGCCAGCCTGGACTCGGGTTCCCCATTTACACTTCCTGTGTAGCCGGGGTGACCGACGGGTGCACACTACCACCGCAGCTCCTCATGGGTTGAGATGGCGTGTCCACCCCCTTTTTGTTCAGATTGACCTGGAACCACAGTCATCCCGAACTCTGACCCCCGAGTGGCTGAAGCGGAAGGCGTGAGCCGCTGTGCTGAGCCACTGGCTCGCCTTGTTTATTATCACGAGCGGGATCATTCACAGGTCAGCAGCGGAGGTCAGCGGCCCTCAGAGTTTCTGTCCTTGGTGGATGATGTCGCAATCCCGCGTTGGGTAACAGTGCGCACCACACTGACACCAGCCCGCTCCGCCCAGGGCTGCACCCACCACCCCGTCCAGAGACACAGCTCGCGCTGTGTGCCAGGGGCCAGGCGTCGGTCAGACACACACTCAGTCCTTGGGGAGTGCGGAGACCTGTGGAGGAGGCCCCAGGAGCGAGGCCGGCAGGTGCAGTACGGAGGCCGCCCACGGGGCCGGGAAGTCTGTCTGGGGCAGCGGTGGAGGCTGCGCTGGGGGCGCTGAAGGAGGTCTGTGGGTGGAGGACAGCCGCTGAAGGGCCCTGGTTGGAGGCTGCCTCTCTCCTTTACTATCGGAACTGCCCTTCACAGTGCTCACCCTGGCTGGGACAGGAAAGAGTTAAAACCCCGTGGTGAGGGAGAGCAGAGCCAAGGGGAGGTCAGCAGTTTCACTGGGCACCAGCGCCGTGGCCCACGCCTGCCACCCTGGCTCCTCGGGAGGTGGAGATCTGGAGGATGATGGTTTGAGGCCAGCCCAGGCAGTACAGCCTGGGAGACTCCATCTCTAACCGGTGAAAAGCTGCAGTGGAGGCGTGGCTCAAGCAGTAGAATGCCAGCTGAGCAAAGAGCCGAGCGGGTGCAAGACCTTGAGTTCAAATCCTAGACCTGGCAGAAATAAAAGGAAGGAGAGAAGGCAGGGAGGAATCTACAAAGGGAACCTCGCGTGTCTGGCAGGCGCCGGCCCCGCGCAGCGCAGCGCACGGCCCGCATCTGACCAGTCAGTCAAGCCCAGCAGGGCGCGTGGCTGGGTTGGGTGGGTGGGGTGTGCCCTGTGGGCTCAGGGCAGGAGCACGGGGCTGCCGCCCGCGGAGGCTGCCCCCCGGAGTCAGCCTGCTGGAACCCGGCGCGTCTCCGGGCTGCAGGGGTGATTCTGGAGGCCAAGGCTGCCCGCGGTGGTTCCCTGGGCCTCTCGCTTTTCGTACCTCTCAAACCCAGTCTCCAGGCCGGCCTGGACCTCGGCCTGCCTGCAAGACCGAAACGCCAAGCGTAACCACCGAGCTCCGCCGTGTTTTGTTTTTTGTGGTGGTGGTGGGGAGTCAGTGGTAGGATTTGAACCCAGGGCGTGGGCCCTGTTTCTGAACTCTCTCTGCTCAAGGTTAGCACACTTCCAGCTCCTTCTGATTTTCCAGTGGGTTTTTGTTGTTGTCGTTGTTGTTCTTGAGATCAGACTCTCACAGACTTCCCTGCTCAGGCTGGCTTTGAACCGTGATCCTCCGCTCTCAGCCTCCTGAGTGGCTGGGATGACAGGCGGGAGACCCCACCTCTTATTGAGATGGACTCTCTCACCCGTTTTACCTGGGCTGGCTTTGAACCACTGCTCTCCCCACCTCGGGAGAAGCATCCGGATGACAGGTGTCCGGGCGTGCACACGCCTGGCCTTTCCCGAGGTCCCAGTTCCGGATGCAGAAGAGCTAGTATGAGCCAAGTCCCTTCTCCCGAGAGCCCCATTCTCTAGTTCCTGCCAACAGCCAGTCTGGCAGTGTGGAGCTGACCGTCGGCCTCCGAGTCGTGTCCTCCAGCCTCAGCCTTCCTGAAGTCTCCCCCATGGGTGCTGATCTTTTAACTCACGCTCTACCGCTTGAGCCACGCCTGCACTTCCAGGTTCTTGGGTGGCTCATTGGAGAAGAGAGTCCCATGGACTTCCCTGCCTAGGCTGGCTTCACACTGAGATCCTCAGATCTCAGCTGGGATTATAGGCGTGAGCCACCAGTGCCCGGCACAGCGCACATTTTGCACTTGTGACATAGACAGCGGTTTGAATCCCACCTTCTGCCCCAGTTTCCCTAGAAAGAGGGTAGGGCAGGTGTTCACCGCGTAGACGAGGTAAAAGGACTGGTGGGCTCTTACGGGCAGGGGCTGGCTTGTGAGGTCCTTTAGAGACAGACAGACTGACAGCACCCGTGTCCTGCAGTTGTCCTGGTTGATCAGGAACTTGGGGGGGAGGTGTCTGCGGAGCAGGGAACAGACATGTCCCTGCATGCTGGAATAGAAAGGTAGTCTGGTGCTCTAGCATGCAGACGCAAAGGCCACAGAAGGAAAGGGGGGAAGCCGAGGCTCTGCACACCTGCGTGTTCCTTTGTCGCTGTAGAAAAGCAGCAGGTGCCGGAAAGAAAGAAAAGCATTGGAATGAGGGCCGTGCTGGCGGGACACAGGCTCAGGCCTGTCAGCCCAGCTCCTTGGGAGGCAGAGATCCACGTCTCAGGCCAGCCTGAGCACGAGAGACGCTCCCTCAGACTCTGGCTGGGTGTAGTGTGCATGCCTGTCGCCCCTGCCACACAAGGAGGATTATGATCCGGAGAGGCCTCGGCGCCACGCGAGACCCTATCCCTAAGACAGCCAACATCAAAAGGGGCCGGCAGGGTGGCTCAGGTGGGAGAGCTCCTGCCTAGCAAGGCGGAGGCCCTGAGTTCAAATCCCAGAGCTACCCAAATATAATTACACACACACACACACACACACACACGATGCTGTCCCAAACTAGACAACGCAATCACTGCGTGGTTCACCATTTCCACCAGAGCCAGTTCTGTCCCAGTGGCTGTAGCTGGGTCTGTCCACTCCCAGAGGAAAGCCCTGCGTCCCTCCGCAGCGGGTTGAGCACTGTCAGAGCCGGGGCAGGACGGGCCCTCGGGCCCAGCGGACCTGCGTCCTCCTTAAAACAGTAGACTCCAAACATGGCCGGCTCCAGACGCCCGCAACTCCCGTGCTATAATCCTGACTGCCCAGGACGGGGAGAGCCCACGACCTGGGCTCAAAGCCAGCAGATGACTCCCCACATTCTGCTCTCCCGGCTAGTTGGCAAAGTGCCGGATGTGGAGTGGCTCAGGTGGCAGAGCACCAGCCCTGAGTGACGAAGCCCCCATACCCGCACGCACGCTCATCCACACGCGCGGTATTCAGCACACATTTCAGGATGGCTGTCGTGGCCGGGCCTGTGCTTGGGCACCGGGGGTCTGGAGGCCCGTGCCGCCCACCGCCCACCTGCACGTGTACACGTGATCCGCGTGTGTGCGCGTACACACGCCCTCTAGACCCTCCTCACTTCCTTCCCAGAGACACCCACACGGATGGATGAGCCATCGCTGTGCTACACTTAGGCCTTTCCTGACCCGGTTCATCGACTGCTCAGCCATTAAAGGCCCTGGGGTGTTCCTGAACGAGAAACTGAATGCCGGCTCGACTGGGTCGATGTAAACACTACAAGCAATGCACTTGTAGGCAGGGAGCTGCGTGACTCTTGTTCCTGTAACTCGGGGGCGGGGGGGGTCCAGGCTTAGGGACCACATCCGTATTTAGTGTGCTGAAAAATTCATGACCCCTGATGAGCTTGGCTCTTAATTGTGTTATCTTCATCATCTGTAGTTCTTAGCCCCGTACTTACTTTCTCTGCATTTCTCTTCCCGCCAAACCCTTGTACAACCTTTTCTTTTTGTAAATAATGTCCTAACAAGAAGAGACAGATGCCCGGTGTCAGTGGCTCACGCCTGTCATCCCAGCTACTCAGGAGGCTGAGATCTGAGGATCGTGGTTTGAAGCCAGCCCAGCAGGAAAGTCCATGAGACTCTTAAGACTTTGAAATCCCACAGGATGGAAGACATGCAAAGTTTGGGGAGAAAAAAATGTCCTGCTAGAACACTGCAGTGTTAGTGCTGAGAACCGCACCCCAAACATTGCATCTGAAAATCAGAATGACCACATTCAGCCATCCGGGCCCCAGAGGGCCGTGTGGGCTGGCGGCTGGCGGCTGGCGTTCTGTCCCTGGCAGATTTCAGATCAGCCATCGATCTGTGGGCTTGCAAGTCCCGCACAATTGAGGGAAAGCAATTGCTGGGAACCCCTGTGTCTCCCCAGGTCCCCCTCTGCCCCCCCCTGCCCCCGCCAGCCTGCAGCCAGGGCCAGTTGACAGGAAAGAGTATTGTGTGTATACCCCAAACGCCACCGGTGTCCACCGGTCCAGACCACGTCCACTTCCACTCGCTGCTTGGGTGCCATCCTCCCTGGCAGAAGCTGTTGGAGGCTGGAAGGAGGACGATGTGGACCCCAGGGGCTGAGGAACTGAGCAGGGTCTGTGTTGATCGGACTTCTGACTAACCCTCGGAAGAGGATCAGTTAGCTCAGAAGCAGGGCACCGGTGGCTCACGCCTGTCATCCCAGCTACTCAGGAGGCTGAGATCTGAGGATCGCGGTTCAAAGCCAGCCCAGGCAGGAAAGTCCGTGAGACTCTGATCTCCAATGAACCACCAGAAAACCGGAAGTGGCGCTGTGGCTCAAGTGGTAGAGTGCTCGCCTTGAGCTGAAGAGCTGAGGGACAGCGCCCAGGCCCAGAGTTCAAGACCCACGACCGACCAAAAAAAAAGGAAGAACAGTGTCCCTCTGGCTCCTACAGGCTGGGAGAGGACCCCAGCATGGGGACCTGGCCAAAACCCCAATGGCCCATACTGGAGGGGATCGTCCAGGAAAAGGGGCACCCCCCCTTTTCTGATTCAGCCCCTGCTGTTTGTACACGTGGCAATTTGGGGGGGGTGCTGAACTGTGAAACCCAGAGCTGCCGTGTCCGTCCATCTGTCTCTCACAGAGAAGGGGTTTGGATGCTGCCTGTTCCACGCAGTGTTTGAAGAGGCTGGTGTTGAGACAGGGTCTCACTGAGGCCAGGCCGGCCTCAAACCCCCGTCCTCCTGCGGCTGCCTCCTCAGTGCTGGGGTGACAGGCGTGCACCCCAGCCCAGCACTCCGTGGACTGGCCAGCCCCACACCAGCTCTCCATCTCAGGGTCATTCAGAAGGTCCTGCTTCTCTTTCACCTTCTCGAATTAGGTCCTGCTCTATACCCATGATGCTTTTCTGTCTGTTAGAAGTTGGGTGATGAAGCCCAAAAAGATGCTTGTTGTCCCCTTGGGTCGAGGTCTGCCATGCTCCCAGGCGCCCCCTATGTATGGGTGATGTTTTCCCCCCCTCTTGTTGGTCTGGGCCTCAGCTCTTCAGCTCAAGGCCAGCGCTCTACCACTTTTGCCACAGCACCATGTCCGGTTTTCTGAGTGGTTCATTGGAGATCAGAGTCTCATGGCCTTTCCTGCCCGGGCTGGCTTTGAACTGTGATCCTCAGGTCTCAGCCTCCTGAGCAGCTAGGATGACAGGCGTGAGCCATTGGCACCTGGCTTTTTTTTTTTTAAATAGGGTCACACCGATCATTGGGGGGGTGAGGAAACACACCCCGTCCGGCCGCCTCACCCCGTGCTCCGTCTCTGTCCCCAGCTCCACCTGGCAGCCCTGGCGTCGCTCAAGAGCGACATAGAGGAACTGAACCGGCGGCTGCAGCAGACGGAGCGGGAGCGGGACCTCCTGGAAAAGAAATTGGCCAAGGCCCAGGTAAGGCCCGGGTCTGCAAAGCCGGGGTTCGGGTTGGTTTCTCTCGTTTCCTCTTTGAAATAGAAGGGATGTAATAGATGCGAATGGCCACAAAACAACAATTCCAGCTGAAGGAGCGGTGTCTGCGGTCTGCTGTGGGTTAGCACGGGCCGACAGAGCCTTCCTCCTGCCCTGCCAGCGCCCCCTGGGGACCCCGGTCCCCTCCCAAAGGCCTGACCATGAACTGCCACCCCCTGGGGGGGGCCTCCCTCCCCTTCCTCACCCCCCTTCTCCCTTCCCCCCTCTTCCTCCTGTCACCTTGCGCTGTCCCCCATGCTTTATTTGCTTGGCTACGTCTCACTCAGTGCGGTTTGATGTGCTGAGATTCCCTGTGCATTCTCTCCGTCCTATTTCACGTGTTTTACTTCAGGGAATCTTTACGTACACGGTCTTGGCTTCGGTCCCCTGTCCCTTCCTTTGTACAGTCCCGCCTCAGACCCTTTGTGTCCCTTCTCGCCATTCTGCCTCTTCTCCATCTTCTGGGCTTCGCTTGGGTGATGTTTTCCCCTCCCCTCCTGAGACTTCCGGTTTGATGTTCCTTTCTGAGCTGCATCTCCATCTCCTCTCCTACCCTTCGGAGTTTTCTGATTTTGAGTTACTGTCCGTTATGTCTGGCATCATTTCCTTAAAGCCTGCTGTGTGATCTGAAATAGTGAAGGTGTGTTGGGGCTCTTTTTTAATGGCAGGTTTTCATGTTGCTCTGCTCTGTCCCTTTCTACAATGTTGGATGCTGCAGTTCTGTAATATTTTCCTTGGACATTTAAAGACAGGTTTGCAAAGGTTTTTTTTTTTTGGGTCCGGTCATGGGTCTTGAACTCTGGGCCTGGGCGCTGTCCCTCAGCTCTTCAGCTCAAGGCTAGCGCTCTACCACACCTGAGCCACAGCACCACTTCCGGCTTTTTTTTCTTTTTGCTTATGTGGTGCTGAGGAATCGAACCCAGGGCCTCAGGCATGCAAGGCAAGCGCTCTACCACTGAGCCACCTTCCCAGCTCTGCAAAGGGTTTTTTAATTTTTTTCTGGTCCTAGGGCTTGAACTTAAGAGTCTGGGCACTGTCCCTGGGCTTCTTTTGCTCAAGGCTAACACTCTACACTTGAGCCACAGCGCCACTTTTGGCTTTTCTTTTTTTTTTTTTTAATTTAATTTATTGGAGATAAGAGTCTCACAGACTTTGCTATCTGGACTGGCTTTGAGCCACGATCCTCAGATCTCAGCCTCCTGAGTAGCTAGGATGACAGGTGTGAGCCACCAGCACCCAACTTTCATACGGTTGTTCATTTGCCTCCTCCTAATAAGGAGTAGCTAAGACTTGGAGAGGTTAAGGTTTGGTATTTAGCACCAGACAAACACAACTTCCTCATATCTAAACAGTCTCTCCCCCAACCCCACCAGCCCGTACGCAGTCTGTGGCTGCAGGAAAAACCTAGCTGCTGATATTCATGGCAGGCAGGGCCTGCGATCACGCTCTGCTCTGTTGGCATCTGCCGGAGATTGAATTCTGGCTGAGTGGACACAATTACCCGTAGCGGGGGGTGGGGGGAACAAACGAGCACCCCACAAGAGCACGTCACTTGAGACCGCCACTTAGCTCTGTTCAGCCGAGTGTGAGGCTTCTGTGTGGTTCGGGGGAAAGTGAAGCCTGACTGGCAGGCGTTGGAAGCGTTTCTGGAGGTTGCTCACGAGTTGGCTGAACAGTTGAGTGGAACCACGTCCATTTCCTCTCCTCCTGCCCTCTTCTCCACCCGCTCTCCCTTGGTCCAGCAGGACTCGGGAGCCCGCGGGAGGTATTTCAGGGCACAGTGAGAAGGGAGGATCCCTGGTATTCAGGAGGAGATCAGACCTCAGGGCGCTAGGAAGGGAGGATTGGGAACTCAGTTCTTTGAGGTCTAAACAGAAATCAGGGTTTTTTTTTAAATCGTTTTTTAATGTTCGTGTTCTGTTACTTCGGTTCCAGCAAATTAACTGAGACATTTCACACCTGCCAGTCCGTTTCCCCACAAAATGATCCTTCACCTTCCATAGCTAACTCAGGAGGCTCGGATGCAGAGGATCCTGCTTTGAGGCTAGCCCTAGAAGGAAAAAGTCTGAGACCCTGTCTCCAAAATAACCAGTGGAAAAGCTGGGCTAGAGGTGTGGCTCAAGCGGTAGAGCGCCAGATCAAACCTCAGTACCAGAAGAGCTGCACACACATACTGCCCCCCCCCACCGTGGTAGAAATGACACCCTTTACCTCTGGAAGGGGGCGGGACAGGGGGGTCTTTGCTGAGACCCATGCTGGCCAGCGCAGGCCTGGCGTTGGGCAGGATAGGCTTCCCAGGGCCTGGAAGGCCAGGGTGGTGTCAGCCATGGTGTCACCAGGCTACCGTGTGTAACAGAGCGGCCTCCCGCCGACAGGCCACTCCTGCCGGTGTGGCAACCCGCAGCGACCATGCACGTGGCGCTGTCTGCCCTTGGTACCACCCAGGGTGACACCTTCCTGAGGTGGACGCCGGGTCCCAGTGGGAGCTGTTAACCACAAACAGTGTTTCGTTGGCTCTTTGGCTCCTGCAGGTGAAGACGTTTTCACTGTGATCATGTAGGAGCCACTGTGTTTCTCCATGAGCCAATGGGAGCCACTCTTGTTTCTCCCTAAGCCAATAGGAGCCACTGTTTCTCCATGAGCCAATGGGAGCCACTCTTGTTTCTCCCTAAGCCAATGGGAACCACCGTGTTTCTCCATGAGCCAATGGGAGCCACTCTTGTTTCTCCCTGAGCCAATGGGAGCCACTCTTGTTTCTCCCTGAGCCAATGGGAGCCACTCTTGTTTCTCCATGAGCCAATGGGAGCCACTGTGTTTATGGGAGTTGCCCTCGCAGTGGGAGTCGTTCTGTTTTTCCCTTGCCAGTTGGAATTAGTCTGCTTCTACCTGAGCCAACAGCATGGTGGTTCTCAAGAGGGTTTTTGTTTGTTTTGTTTTGTTTTGTTTTGTCAATTATGGGGTTTGAACTTGGGGCCTAGACATTGCCCGTGAGTCTTTCCACTCAAGGCGAGCGCTCTACCACTTTGAGCCACAGCACCACTTCAGTTTTCTGGTGGTTCATTGGAGATGAGAGTCTCAGGGACTTTCCTTCCTGGGCTGGCTTCAAACCACAATCTTCAGATCTCAGCCCCGAGTAGCTAGGATGACAGGCGTGAGCCAGGGGCGCCGGGTTCTCAGAGGGTTTAACGGATGTTTACGATCAGCGCTTCCACATCGCTTAGGTTGGGTCTGTGGTTTGCGTGGATGAGTGACGTGTGCAGTGTAGAGTCAGGTGACCCTGAGCAGTGTGGTCTCAGCCATTCCCACGTCTGTGTCTAGAGAATGATTCCCTGCGTTCTCCTCTTTCCTGGGACTAGAATCCCAGAGCACCTTTCTGTCCTCTCCTCCCTACCTTGCCCCCAAACTTTGGTCCGTGTTTCTTTTCGCCAAGTCTGGATTCCTGGTGACTTGGATGGTGAGCAGCGGAGGGGAGGGGCGGCGGTGGCCGGGGCGCTGCTGGGATTTACGCCCGGCCTCTTGAGTCATGGCATCCTTGGCTGTACCTTGTCCACCTGGCGGGCAGAGGGCTGAGGAGCCACGGCCCACCCTTTCTCAGCCTGCCACCGGATCTCACCGGGCAGTACCCGCAGGCCTCGGCATGAAGAAGATGAAATTCAAATGTCTCAGCTGGATGGGGAAATTAATCAGGGCTGAATGTGATGGGGGACACCAGCTGCCCCGCAGGTCCTTCCCTGGGGAGCGTTCTGTTATGCAGATGGAGCCGGCAGCCGGTGACTGGTGGGGTGTGGGAAGGGTGGGGGAGGGGAGGGCCGCTCTCCCCCTCCATCACTGTCTCCCCGGAGCAGCCCCATGGCTGCGAGATTTGGGGCGATTATTTTTTTATAACACTTCCGGAGGCCCCTGGAGCTCAGGCAAAGGGCAGCTGCCCGTTCCGCCTTGCAGGAGAGGAGGACACAGAACCCCAGAGACCCCAGTTGGGCTGCACCTTGTTAGGTTGTCTGGTTGGGAAGAGGCCCAAATGGTCCCCAGCAAGCATTGAACTAGGGAAAGAAGCAGCGGATGGTGAGAAGATGCCAGGAGTCCAGAGAGGCCTTCAAGGCCATGGTCAGGCCGCCTTGGGTTTAGTTACTTCCTCCCAGTGCCGGTGGCTCACGCCTGTCACCCCAGCCACTCAGGAGGCTGAGATCTGAGGATTCCAGCTGGAAGCCAGCCCAGGCAGGAAAGTCCCTGAGACTCTGATCTCCACTTAACCACCAAAATCCAGAAGTGGAGCTGTGGCCCAAGTAGTAGAATGCTAGCCTTTATCAAAGCAGCTCAGGGACAGCGTGGAGGCCCTGAATTCAAGGCCAGGACTGACATGAAAAGGGAAACATACCAGCTTCTCACATGATGAGCCAGTGGACCCCGGGCCTGGGCCAGCGCAGGGCATGGGCTCAGGTCTAGAAGGGCCGGCCTCCCAGCCTCCTCCCGGCCGCCGGCTGTGCTGTGTCCCCGGCGGGGCCGGCCGGGAGGGGTGGGGGCTGGAGGCCGTGGAGGCCGCGCCCCATCCCCGTCCCCTCCCGCCGCAGTGTGAGCGCTCGCACCTCATGAGAGAGCACGAGGACGCCCAGGAGCGGACGGCCCTGCGCTACGAGGAGCGCGTCACGGAGCTGCACAGCATCATCGCCGAGCTCAACAAGAAGATCGACCGCCTGCAGAGCGCCACCATCAGGTACGCGCCTCCCG